TATATATATATATATATATATATATATATTCCCTCTTCTTCTTTCCAACCAAACATGAAAGTTTAAGAATCCCCACCTCCGTGCGCTTCTCACCTCAACACCTTTATCAAACCAAGCCTTACGTCAGTGTATTTTTTGGTCTTTAGATTCGGCGCCTACCGTAATTTTATATATTCTATCATGACTTGACAATACTACTCCATATTGAATGTTCATAGTCACAACACTGCTCTATTTACTGTTATTAACCTCTATGGATACCTATCTAGTATCTACATAGATATAAACCACAAAAGAGCAAAGACTATTATTTATGCTTCATTATTTGACTTTTCATTTTAAAAAAAAAAGTGCAACTTTTTTTATTGAAATTACCTAATATGATGTGGGCCACCATTTCCTCAACATAATTATATTGATCATTGAATGCTTTATAACCTCACGCTATATGAACCTCAAAACATTTCTTAAAGCACAATTATTTCCTAGCAATGTGCTAGCCATACAGTTCAAAAAAAAATGCGCTAGCCATAATTTTCTTCAGTTTCCTTCTTTTGACTGAAAATATAATGCACTGGTTTAAAGCAGTCGATGTAAACAACTAGCAGTTAGAACTACTGTAGCTGTTGAATTAGCCATGTTAGGCTGATACATGAACAGTTATTTCGTACAGAGAGAAGGCCAAGACAACTTAACCATAGAGATGTATTGATCATGCCAACAGTGTGAGCCTGACTTAACTAATGCTCTTAGTTGTACTTAAAATGGCTTAATGTACTTTGCTTTGTACTTGGCTCAAGCGCTGTAAAAATACTGTCATATTCATGAAAATTTTATTTACTTGAGATCTGAAGCTCTGTAAACACTTGCTCGTTATAGAGTTATAATGCTACTTCAAATTACAATTGATTCTTGATCGAGAATTACACTGTGGATGTTGAAAGGGTTGAGCACATTTTATAGCACCAAACTCTCTCCATATGGGGAATACTATTTATTTTTCTTCCTTTTGATTTTGCTCCTTATAACTCTTGGTTCTCTCAATTAAAAACCTAACTTTTATCACTAAATTGTTGGATTGATATAAAGTACTTGATGAATTACCTTTCACCCACTTAACCTTGTTTAGAATCTTAACTTCCTCTGCTACACTTTTGGTTATACTGTAAATATAGCTTTATAATAACCCTGTGCATTGCTATATTCGTTTCTCATTAGTCTTCACATCACATGTTTTATTTCCTTATTTTATTATAAATTAATGCAGTGATATTATACTGATACTCTATTTTTGGTGCTTTACTAATGTTGAGGTCGATGCCCAGGCGCATCATTTTGACAGCTTCAACTATGATAAGAGTATGTGAATGCGATGGAAGAAAAAGAAGATGTTGAACAATGTTTTAGTTTCTAAACCACTTAATTATTTTTAAAATAAGCATATTTTTAATATGTCAACACTAATAATAACTTAAGATTTAATGAATTGACCGAACCATCACGTGTAGATCTAGGTAGAGATGTAGAGGGGCCAATGTCTTGGACCCATCCACCCACTTTGGACTAGATTCCTTCAATTGCTTGAATTTCGATACCATGATATTCTTTCTCATAACATTATGATGCCCCTTTCTTGATCTAAGTTGTGTTGTAAGTGATAGGAACAAATAAAAGTAGATAAGGGACACTATCTCATGGAGACCAACCCTACTACTACATAATCTAGAACAATATATTTGCCATCGGATCTTTTGAGAGTAATAATTGATGCTACAAGTGAGAAGCTAACATACATATCCGTAGAGAGTATCATAGATTTTAGTGGTTATTTAGCATATATATTGTTAGAATTGTGTATTTGATTCTTTGTGTAACTTCATGAGAATTAGATAGGGTTAAAGATCTATTATGATTAGGAGACTGGGTTTCATCATGATTAGGAGTTTGAATTCTATTCTAATTAGGAAGTTAGGCTAGAGATAGTGTTTTGGTTTCCCTATATATATTTTTGTATTGTTGGAGAGAAAAACGAAGAGTAGAGAGAAGGAGAGAGAGGGTTTGGCACTCTTTGTCCGTACAAAAGATTATAATTTGGAGTGATAGTGGATTGATTTTTAATCCCGTGGTTTTTTCCTGTTGAGGGTTTTCCACGTTAAATCTTGTGTGATTCTATTTGTTGCGTTTGGTGGTTTTTAGGATTTCTGCGAGATCTAAAAATCCCAACAAGTGGTATCAGAGTCAGGTTCGACGGTTCGTGGAGGTTTGACCGGTGCGCGATTAGTGAAGGTGTCAGTGGTCGAAGCGTGGTGATTGACACCGGGGTAAACAAAAAAATGAAAGGGCATTGTAGCGTAATACTATAGCCGGATACTGTAGCGGCGTGGGAGGCCTTTTCATATGGTGGAGAAATCCGACAGTGCAAATTGATTTGTCTTTTAATCGAGGATTTGGAGGAGGATTTTGGTGATCCAGGAGTCGTTCCTAGGGTGTTTCGACATGCTAAATTCGTTTTTGATGTCGGTTTTATCAAATTCAATCTCTACAGTGACTGATTTAAATTTTGATTGTGGTTAGAGGATGATGACTACTTCGGGTCCGAAATTCAATATTTTGTTATTCAACAAGAAGTTAAATTTTGTAGTATGGCAGTGCACGGTTCAAGATATTCTGGTGTAGCATGGTGTTGATCAAGATTTGGATGAGAAGAAACCTGAAGGATTGAAGGATACTGAATGGAGTTCCATACAAAAGAGGGCGGTTAGCACAATTCGTTTGGCACTCGCTCCCGAGATCAAGTACAATGTTATGCAAGAGACCACACCAAGGGGGCTATGGGAAAGGATCGAAGGGATTTATGCGTCGAAGTCGATGGCCAACCGATTGTGTTTGAGGAAGGAGCTTTATTCGTTAAAGATGGAAGAAAGTACTGTAATTCAAAACCACATCAATGCTTTTAATCAGCTAGTTTGCCAACTTATGAATATTGATGAGGAAATTAAAGAACAAGAGCAAGCACTACTCTTATTGTCTTCCTTGCTGAAATCGTACAAGCCTTTAGTTCAGACAATAATTGTAGGAAATCAGACTTTAAAGTTCGACGATGTGACAGTACTCCTACGTGAGAATGAAAGAATGATGGGAAAGGAGAGCGCATCTAATGGTGGTGAGAGTGCACTAGCTTTTGAAGGTTCTAATCAAGGAAGGAGTAAGAGGAGATGTGACAGTTATCAAGGAAGGTCAAAATCTCAGGCCC